CGTGTCTCGGCCCCCCCCCCCCCGGCCACGGCCCCCGCGGCGCAGCTCCGGGTCGGACCCAAGCCCGGCAACCCCGGCCGGAGCCCGGCTCGATTCCTGGGGGCGGGGCTTGCAGCAAGCTCCGCCCCCAGGAATCGGGCCCCGCTCTTGCTAAAGCCGGCCCTGCCCTCACAGGTGTTTGTCTAACCTGCTCTTAAAAATCCCCAATGATGGAGATTCCACAACCTCCCTAGGCAATTTATTCCAGTGCTTAACCACCCCGAAGGAAGTTTTTCCTCATGTCAAACCTAATCCTCCCTTGCTGCAGTTTAACAGTACATAATAATAACAATTGGGGTGACGCTGGAAATATTGAGGCTATTGAATCAGGCACGTCAGACTGGCTCCAAGCCCCTCCCTCTAACCTCTTCCAAGGCTAGAACATTTTATGCCAAGTTAGCTCAGCTCAACTCAGTTTCATGGACCAGTTACCTGAGCACGGGCCGCTGAAAAAAGAACACGGTGAAAACTACAACTCCCAGCGTGCCCAGGGCCTGTCCCACACATTGCATAGAAGCTTGACCGCCCATATCCCGCCTTCTCTCGGCTCTTATTGGAGTGTTGAGTCGTCGTCGCTCAACGCCTCGATTCCGATTGGTCGAGCTGCAGCTAGCAAGGGTGTACGAACCCGTGTATGGGGTGGGCTCAAGATGGCGGGAGAGGCGTCCGGGAGATACAGAAGCACCATGAGCAAGAGCAAGGACCCCTCGGGCCTGCTCATCTCTGTGATCAGGTAGGGGGGGACGGGAGCTCGCAGGGTCCCCCCCCCGAGGATGTGGGCGGCACGTCCCCTCCATCCCCTCTCAGCAGGGCTCGCTGGGCCACGCTTCCCCTCAGGCCCCCGGAGAGCTGCCATGGGGCGACCCCCCACCCCGAGGCCCGGCCCCCCGCGGTTGTAGCAGGGACCTCCAGCAGCGGGGGGCCCATGGCCACGACAGGCCCCGCTTGTCAGAGCTGAGGGCGCCCGTGGTGCCGGGACTCGAGTGACCCCCCCCCAGATTTCAGGGACCCCTGGACAGCAGCAAACCCTGCAGCTGCAGGAGGCCCCCATTTCTCGTGGGGGAGGGAGGGGACGGCTTAGCCTCAGTGGGGATCTCAGGCTATGGCCGCAGGGGATCCCCGGCTCTCAGAAGCCGCTCATGACACTGGGCGCCAGTGTGCCCTGCGGCTGGAGGGTACCCCCCAGTTATCAGAGGTGCTTGTCCGACACAGTGGCCCTTGTGGGCATTGGGGGGTGGCCTCTGTGGCCCACATAACCACAACAGTCCTGTTAAGTCCCAACGGCGCTGACATTAACAGTGAGAGCTAGAGACCAGGCAAACCCAGCAGGGCACCCCCCCCCAATTTTTAGGAAGCCCTTCATTGGGAGTAAGGGCATCCACATGCTCTGTGGTGGCTGTAATATGCATTAGGTCCTACTCCCTTTCCCCATCCACCTCTTTGGCTGACTTGATTGAAATAAGAGGGCCTAAGGATCTTGTGACCACAGAAGACTCTTTCTCACATGCCCCCTGTGCCCTATTCTGGGGTCCCTCAATGAAAGCAACAGGGCTTAGTCAGTACCATTCTTGTGATGTCCTGGAAAGACTGGGAACCCCTGTATCCGTGTTTGCTGGAGCACCCTGCATGCACAGCGGCCTTTGAGCTGATTAGACTAAGGCTGGTCAGAAAGCACCAGGAAATGTACATGCAGTCTCATATCCTGTTATAAACCACAGCGATTGAAAAGTTGCTGCCTTCTAGGGATTGTATTGCCTTGCAGGGGATGAAAAGGAAAAACTGCAAGTACAGTATGTCACATCATATTGTGATTCTGCTGTTTTTTGCCTGCACTCACTCCTACAACCCCTCCTTTCTATGTCAGAGGATGATCCAGCTACTGTGTCTGAATCTGTCTGATCCCCTCACTCCACTCCTCGTTTCCCTCTGTCCCTTTAAAAATACTTTTAAAATCACATCCTTTCTATGCTGCTTACAACCAGTGAGTTGGCAGCCACTTTCCCACACTGGTGTTTACTAATGCCAACCTTTCACATACTGATGCTTACTAATATTATTATTTGCTGTTCCCATGCACACACTCATCATATTGTAACTGCTGTGCATTATGAGATGGTTGCATTAATAATGAATTATAAAATTCAGTGGCTTTGTATCATCTACCTGGAATAAACTATAATAATAATAATTTGCATTTACACAGCGCCTCTTATTTAAGCATCATGATAATGACTGGAAAAAAATCTGGTTTTCTTTAGTGTCCTGCAGGCATAGGTCAGTGATTGGACACTAGATGTTGAGGACTCTGAGTTACTACAGAAATTCTTTCCCAGGTGTCTGGTTGGTGGATCTCACCCACATGCTGAGGTTCTAACTGATCGCCCTGTTTGGGGAGAAATTTTCCTTGGGATCAGATTGGCAGAGATCCTGTGAAGTTTTCATCTTCCTCTGCAGTACGGATAGGTCACTTGCTGGTTTGAACTAGATTAAAAGTGGATTCTCTGTGATGTCAAGGCTTCAACTTAAGATTTGAGGATTTCAGTAAATCAGTGACAGGTTAGGAGTAAGTCTGTCACGAACGTCACAGATTCTGTGATTTTATGAGAGCTCTGTGACTTCCTCGAAATTCCACTAATTCAGCCCTGGCTGGCAGGACATGGGCTTCAGCTCTGGGTGGCGGGGCTCAGGCTTCAGTTGAAGTTGGAGCCCTGCTGCCCGGGGCTAAAGTCAGAGCCTTGCCACCCGTAACTTATGTTCACAGGGCCCCTTGAGGCGTGGGGTCCTGGGCAATTGCCCTGCTTGCTACCCCCTAGCACTGGCCCTCTGTACATTTCCGTGATTTTATTTTTTATTGCCCGCATCCTATCTGTGACTTATAATAAAAATACACATCTGAAAATCTTAGCCTTATTTATGGGCAGGAGTAAGTGGGTGAGGTTGTCTGGTCTGCAGATCAAGACTAGATGATCATGATGGTCCCTTCTGCCCTAAAACTCTATGGGTATGTCAACCGTGCAATTAGACACCTGTATAGATGTTCAGTTTTGGGCTGTAGCCTGACCTCTGGGATCTTTCCACCTTGCTGGGACCTAGAGCCTGTGCTCCAGTCCTAGCCCAAATATTTACACTGCAATTAAACAGCCTCTTAGCCTGAGCCCTGTGAGTCTGAGTCAGTAGGCACAGGCCAACCAGGGGTTTTTAATTGCAATGTAGCTATACAAAAAGTGTGTATGAGACCACACAGAACTCCAGAAAGATAGCAACCCATAGTGGACAGTTGTTTAGATCACATCTAAGGCATGTTGTATGATCTTTCAAGCATCCCAGATGTGTAACATTAGTTTTTAGAGTGTGTGATGGTAACAAAATAAGAGGCAAGTAATAGTAAATATAGAGAGATTTCTTTAATACACCTGAAGTTTTCTGTGTCCTTGATTTCAGTTTACCACCCAACAATACATTAAACTATTGAAAGCCAAGGAAATTAATAAGATAGGTGCATTTTGTTGCAGCATATGACCAAGTTGTAGAGTCCCGTTACAAGATAACTGCAAGAATTAATTTGAGGGAAGATGAAATGTCTAAGCAAAAAATAAGTGTGTGTGTGTGACATGTTTATAGTGGGAAAACCAAAAGGGGCACTAACATAAAATTCATATTTTGAAATAATTCTTTACCGTAGTTTATTAATGACAGCTTCAAAAATTTTAATAATGTAAATGTGACCACCTTTTACTACTTAAGCTGTTTTTACTGTCACTGAGTGTGGACAGCGAAATTGGATAAATCATTTTTATGTTCTGTTTGTGTTAAGTTTCACTTTATGGTTCTCAAACCCAATGCTCTTGGGTTGAGATGCCAGCATACCAGGGAAGATTTAAATCTCCAACTTTTTCCACAATTCTTAAAAACTGAAAACTATGTTGGTTTATATATGATGTTGTCATATCTCCTATCCCCCTTTTTAACAAAACCTAAATTTGAAATCCTTTAGGTTTATAGTGAAATATCTAATATTATTACATGTTTATGTTTTACCTGTCTAGGAACTTTCGTTACAGAGGCACTGATATCATAGATAGATTAGGCCCAAAATTTCAATTTAACATTTAGATAAAATACGGTGTGAAAATATTAAAACGTTCTAGTGAGTCATGACATTTAAGAAATAAAAAATCAATGGAAGCTGTTCTTGTTTTGGATCTAAACATTCCCTGCAGTGTTTGCAGTCCAGACATAATATTGAACTAGTCCATGGGAATCTGAACGTAAAACTGAAAGGAAAACTGATCCATTAATAACTTCATTTTCCAGTTGAGTGCAAAAAGTAAATGGCATAAATGGTGGAAAGGAAGTTATATTATTAAAATTCATTCTCTATGATCTTTTATTAGTAGTTAAGATCAAGATGAATGTGCTGGACATCTAACAACATTTCCATGCCTGTTTGGCATGTCTAGAAAAATATGAGTAATTTTTATATATGATTGTTATATTTGAAGTAAAACTGAAGGAACCACATTTGAGCTCAGATGAGACCCAACTGAGATGATGTCAAGGAATGTTTGCTATATGGGAAAGATACATGGCTGGTAGGGAAAGCCATATAATTTTGAGCTTGCAGTAAGATATTGCCAACTATAATAGGCAAACTCTTAGTTATTTTGGAAACACCACAGTATCTTGGGATGCAGATAATCAGGAAATTGAGGGATAGTCCATAGAAAGGACTGTAGCTTGTATCTCAATAAAGTAGTATGACTGTCCCCAGTAAGTGGCAATCCTTCCCATTGCATTGGGAATAGACTGGTTTTCTGGACACTTCCTTTTAAGAAGATTTCTCATTTATCTAGGTCCTGATGCAGATCATTGTACAGTACCACGTTTGCTCACAATAACAGACAAAGTAGGCAGAGTGGAGCGGATAATCTAATGCAGGGCTTGAAAACTTTGCTATACACCTACTTAGGAGCAGGGAGATAAAGTGGGATTGTACTAGAGCACTGTTTCTGTGATGTGCTGTGAAGCTCCCATTTTTTTATGTTGGCCTTGTCTAATAGGTAGCTATTAAATTTCAGGAGGAGGTGTTATTGAGTGGTTAGAGCAGCAGACTGCCACTTAGACTGCAGCGTCCATCCACGGTAAGTGTAGGCAAGCCCTTAGATTCTGTTCTCGGCACCACTATTGATTTGCTGTGTATTCTGAAGCAAAATGTTTATCCTCTCTGTGCCTGGTTTACCCATTGGTAAATTGTGCATAATAATCATAGAAATGTAGGACTGTAAGGACCTTAACAGGTCATCTAGTCCAGTCCCCTGCACTGAGGAGGGACCAAGTATTATCTAGACCATCCCTGACAGGTGTTTGTCTAATCTGTTCCAAAAAATCTCCAGTAACAGAGGTAATTTGTTCTAGTGATTAACTACCCTTACACTTAGGAAGTTTTTCCTAACATTCAACCTACATTTTCCTTGTTGCAATTTAAGCCCAGTACTTCTTGTCCTGTCCTCAGTATTAAGGAGAATAATTTATCACACTCCTCTTTGTAACAACCTTTTTTTTACTTGAAGACTGTTGTCATGTTCTTCCCTCAGTCTTCTCTTCTCCAGACTAAACAAACCCATTTTTTTGTTGAGTGTTTCCTCTTCGGTTATGTTTTCTAGACCAGTGGCTCTCAACCTTTCCAGAAGACTGTACCCTTTTCAGGAATCTGATTTGTCTTGGGTACCCCTG